GCTGTAGTTGTATTCTTGAATATCAGGATGGTGTCTGTGTATAACCGCTATCCTGGATACTTATGTCACATTATTGTATAACCTAACCTACCGTTGAAGTTCGTTAGTTTTTTAGCGATTCTGTTGTGAGGTGTTATGGTACTCTCTCGTGGTGTTCTTTTACTCTCTGGTTTTATCGCTGCCTACGCTTTGGGTTTGTATGGATTTGCTACAAAGACGCGTTTTTTGATAATTGGCCCAGATATTGTTCACCTAGGAACACCTTCTGGCTCAGTATTTGCCAACACTTTTTCTCTGGTACCATGTATGGCCACTTATCCAGTGGAGGTTTACATCAGATTAGTAGCGACAATTTTATTTACTAATATGACCACTTCATGTTGACATTACATCATTACTTTACATATTTGAAATATGACTCTTAAATGATTTTCTTGTAACATGTTTGTTACTGAATATTTTATGTTAGATTTATAGAATATATATTTTTCGTATTTTTCACAATTTTTATTTCAGAATATTTTGAAAACCGTTTCCGGATTGGAAATCTAAACGTAAAACAAACAAAATTTTTTTATTATGAACCATTTCTATTTTTATTAATAATCGTGTTTACTCCAAGGAAAAAAATATTCTGTCGCAAAATTGAACTCTGATCTGTATCGTTTTCATGTAACTCTTAAATTGATTCTTTTTAAATCGCTTGCCTGCATACTTTATTATTTTCAGCAGATATTTGAGACAAATAGAATTCTCACGAGCAAATTGGCTGGTTGCAATTTCAAAATTTCAGGTTCTTCTCGATTTACATTCCTATGTGAGTTTGGCCTGTCATCTTGGAACAATTCAGTTATATAATTACTTCATGTTTCAAATATTTCTCGGACTTTCTTGTGCTGCAAATTGAACAAGTCATGTTTCTTTTCTAATTCTTACATTTTTAAAGCAACTTTTCTTTAGCTGCTCATAATTTTTGTTTTCTTTCTCTTTGTTTTTTCTGTATTCGTCTACCTTGTTCTTGTATTTCCTTCTTTGTTCAAAAAGGTCTAGTATTTCTTCCGTCATCCATTGAATCTATTAGTTACACTATGTTCTTATACTTAGTCATACGTTCACGAAATAGTTTCAAAGTTGTCTCAACATTTTCGGTTGTTTTCATTTCTTTCATGTAATTATTTACATCAAATTTTGTTGACATTTGAAATAGTAAAACTCTTTGGTGATGTTTTTTCTTTATTCGTTTTAACCCAAATCTTCGCCCCCAATAGTCGCATCGGCGACTAAAGAGTTGGAATTAGATCCAATATCTGCTCCAGGGTATGAAGCTCTCCTGATAGAGTTCCTAAATCTTTTATTGATAAGAATGAAAGAAAGAGGTAGGTATTTAAAAAAAATTAATTGGAGTTACTATTCCTCTGTCCATAGGTTTGTTAGCACTCACATTCTATCAATACTGCCATCCAGAATTATCAAACCACTTGCATCAACTTTCTTTTCGTTGAGCCAATCGGAATCCTCAGACGATGTTTTATTGTAGTGCACAATGCGGAGATCCTCATTTGCCTTTTTGGCATCAAGTCGCTGTGGGATGTGAAATAAATCTTACCGGTTGTGCATTGTAGTGATAGACTAAAGAAATAGTACGGAACCTGCTTAAATGCTTTTAGTGACTACAGCAACGTGTTTCTGACAACGAAAACAAAACAAAACGGACTTACATTACACTCAAAAGAATCCCTGTAAAACAAATAAAAGGAACAAAATAGCAATATCGTACAATACGATCGAATGATCTTATTTGTTGGAGGTTATCTCTTATAGGAAGTTGGGAGATTTTAATTCCATAGTTTTTTTATTTAAATAAAAAAACAATGTTACATAAAGCGATATGCTAATCCCCCTCATACCCTACAATGCATCGTAACGTTTTACAAGACCCCTCCCTCCTAATTTCGTTACGTAATACTTGAACGATCAATTCATTGCTATCCACATATTTAACAATACAGTACCTGTGAGTATCACGTCATCATTATCAGTGATGCTACATCCCTAGTTATGCCTCGACCTTTCCCACTCTATTTCGCCAGTTGTTTCTATTTATCGCCACCTGCGCCAATGTTTCTCGCATCCTCGTCCACTCTAACATCCATCTCAGTCTTGGTCTACGTCTACTCTTATTTCCTACTGTTACCGCTAATAGAGTTAGTCTAGATACCTATTTTTATGAAAGATATTACAATACATCCCTACCATTAACTATTTCTTTATACTTCTCGTAGAATTTGAAATTATATCGCCTTCTACAAATACCATTCTCACAGATTGCTGTTATTCTGTGCAGTATCTTCCTTTCAAAGACAGGCAGACGATTTGCGTCTGTTTTGGAGATGGTCCATGTTTCTGACCCATATGTCAAAATTGGTAGGATGAGTATTGTATATATTGTTAGTTTGGTTTTTTGGCTTAAATTTATGTTTTTTACATAATTTCGATTTACTTCTTCAGATGTGTCTTTATCGTTTGTTATGAGAGAACCCAGATAGGTAAACTTATTTACTACCTCAAAATTATAGTGGTCTGTGTTAAGGTTTTGTTCAGATTTCTAGATCTTCTAGTTTATTTTGTCATATTGGCGCATATTTTGTGCGGCCGTCAAGTAGTGGAGGTCCTCGTGTTGTGCGTGCGATCAAATTCCAATCGCCAGCGAAAGTCATAATCTACGTCAACTTATTAAAGATTGATTGCGTTCACCAGATTAATCCGCTTTCAATCCAATTGCACAGCGCTTAATGCTAAGAATTAAAGTTTGGTGAACGACTGACAGTTGTTGCTTTGTTTTTGTTTTTATTAACCTAACCACAGAATAAATAACAATACCTAACTAAAATGGATAATATTCTTGAAGCATTTTTGTTTGGGGACAATATTTTATAAATAACGTAAAAATTGAAATCGTAGGCTTCCACGGCCAGAGTCACGGGGATTCACTCCCCGCCTCTCGACGCGTTAGTGTTCTGAGCTGTTGGACGTGAATCCCTGTCCTGGCATTTGGTTTTCACCTCTGGCTGCGTTGAGTAGTTGAGTTACTGTGACCAAATGCCCATCTTGGTAGTTAGTATTCGCCTCTGGTTGCGTTGAGTAACTGAGTTACCGTTGCTAACTACCCATCTTCCTGTTCTTCTTTTGTTTTCTTTTTTCTTTTTCTTTGTTCTCCTGAAGAAGCTACATACAATTGTAGCGAAACGTCGAGATGAACCCACTTTTGGGTCACTCACAAATGACACGGTCCAAACCCGGAAGACGAATAAACAACGTAAAAATTATATAATATTTATATTCTATTTCGAATAAATTTGCCATTTTTTATTTGATACATTTATATGTTGGCGGAATTCAACTATTAGAATAAGCTATTCAGCAATGATTAAGCACTACAAATTTAAGGCGGAATAAAATGGCGACCGCTTATCACCCGCTTGGAGTTTTAGCATGATCAGCACATCGTTCACCAGAATCGATTATAAGCCGCTTGCAAACAGCTTCTATGCGATTGAATCTGGTGAACGCACCCATTGTTTCCCTATTATGTAACTTTACATCTCTTACAATCAGTATATCGCATGATGCTTATAAATTATAGTTTTATTTTTATACCTACTTTTGCTTTTTTATACCTTTCACAGCGTATAATCACAGAAAATATTGTACCATTGCAAAAATACTAGTTTGTTTGCTACACAAAGAGATCTCAAAGAATGAAGATAGTTGACTGAAATATAGCAATGAATAGACTGTCATCTTCTCCTTAAATATTACCTATTAACTGACGACAGCCCAAACCATTCTCGCAGATTGCGCCCCAGAACATTCTACTACGTCCTACACTATTTCGGCCTATGATTTTAACCTGCATTATAAGTTGAAGTATGTCATATTTTGGATTGTCGGAAATATTCCCCATGAATTTTAGCTTCCTTTCCTTAACATTAAATATAATTTCCATACTTTGACTATTATCCCTCTAGCACTTGTTGGTGAGTAAATTGTACAACTCAGATGATGATAAGTTTTTCATTTAATTTTATCCAATCATAGTGCCTTCTTGCTTGTCTTGTACGGTAGTATACAGGAAATTTGTTCAAGTCATAATATAAATAGTCTTCATTTTCTTCTGCCTTTAATAATGGTTGTCTATTTTATCTTCGAAAATTTTGATATGACAATTAGGTTTCAATAACTAGTTAGGAAAGGGTTATAAATTGGTTATGATGCAAATGGCTCTACAATCCAACTATAAAATACTCATTTGGAACGCCAATGGCCTTCATCAACGAGACAAAGAATCTAAAACATTTATCAAAATATTGATATAATAATGATCTCTGAGACACAATTTACAGAAAAACACTACATGCGAATTTCTAATACAATTTGTATCATACAAAACACACAGATGGTGGAGAATATAGAGGAAGTGCCACAATTATACGTGATTCCATCAAACATTCTGAAAGGAAGAAATACACAAAAGGACAAATTGTTGGCGTGGATGGTTTCGAAGGATGAATCTCCTGGCTTTATAATTTACGCAACTGAACAAAACTAAATATTTTCAAATGAAGTTTTATTCTAAAAAATGTGAATCCTTTACTATAAAGTTTTCTTGTATAATTGTTAGCTGTTCATAATGAACTTTAAAAAAGTTAATGGCACTCCGCCCTTCAACCCTGATCATACATCTTAGACTATTTTTGGGGCTTTGTATGGACTACTGTCATGATCATGGTACTTACCCAGCTTTATATTCGTCAGAAATAGCAAGTAGAAGTTTCCTCAGCAACTCAAATAATTTTTGAACACCAAGTTCATTATTGATGTTCTGCAGCGAAATAAATTTTAATAATAATTACTACCAAAATGTCCTCCAATCTACTTATTCTTTATATTTCATTCTACCAAATATTTTCAAAAATATATACTAGTATAAACAAACTACATAGAGAATAATTTTTAATTTATTTTTATTAACAAAAAATATATAAAATAAAACCATCAACTTTCTTCCAAAAATCTTTTCTCGGCGGGACTATTTTTGACCAAAATAATAAAGGAAGGAGTTCCACCTCTGATAACATACCTAAAATAAAAAAAAAAGATATTAATTATTGTATGTATCAACAACCCGAACATATGTAATTGTACAGTCCGGAATTTAGTGTTTGTGTAATCCCTACTAATACAGGAGTGGTTTGACATTAAGCCTTCGATAGATGACGTTACGCGAGAACGCAACAGCCGTCACAGAGTGCGACAGAGAAAACTGTATCGCTGTAACGCAAAGCAATCCCTGTATCACTTTCGAATTTACCAGGTTTATCGACCAGATGACTTAAATGACCAATGAGTAGGTCACGCGGTCGATAAACCCGTCCCATTAGAAAGAGATGCAGGGATTGCTTTGCATCAGTCTGTTGCACTGGGGGAACACGACTGTATGGCATCAGTCAGTATATTTGCATTATATGTATTATTTGTATTATAATTTCGACAGAGTCATTGTCGAAAACATACAAACATACAAATTCCTGCCACCCATTATTAACAGCTTAAACAAAACTTACTGTTGCAAACTTCTCTAATTAAAAAAATAATATATACTTCCATTATTCATGATTATTATGAATAATGGAAGTATATATTCATTAATTTGTATTAAAACTTTCTATTTGTAAATACTAATCTATAAACTACTATAAAATTTGAAACATAATCATCTAAACCTTTGTTCTAATTGATGTAGCTTTATTTTATTGATAAACTGATGTGACACAACAATTAATATTGGCTATATTCTTTTTCCTAAACTCAGCTCAAATATCTTGAAAATTTAAAAATTATTGTGCTATGTTGGTCAAAATTTGACTTTCACTGAAAGTTAATATACAACCAAGCACACGTGCCAATGAATTGATGCTGCCATGACGTCATGTACAACAATTTAGGCGAAGATTCTGATAGCGGTGGGATTATACTGTCCAGCTATAGAAACGTTGAAAAAGAACTAAAATATCAAGTATAAAGAGCATATAATATAACAGCATTCCTTAACCGACATTAAATGTGAGATGAAATCAAAATTCTATAAGGCCAGCATAAGATCAATAATGCCAGTGGTAGAAATGAGTGAATATTAAATGAAATGAAATAAGTAAATAGATGAATGAAAATAAAACAATCACATCAGTATAATGGCGGACACAAAAGTAGTTAAATTAGCAAGGGACAAATCATCAAGTAGTAGAAGTATCGGCTGACCGCGCAAGGGATGGAGTAACAATCTACCTTAGAGGCAACAAACCAGTAATGAACAAGCAAAATTACTTATATGAAGGAAGAAGATTCTGATAGCGAAAATACATTCTCAAAATAAACTTAAAAGTACTTACTCTTTGCATTTAAGAATATTGCCTAAAAGTGTGCCATGTTCAACATGTTTCATTTTCTTTTGTGGTGTTTCGAAATAAATATTGAGTTGATCAGTTTTGTATTTTCTTTGATCGTCCCAATCAGGTGGATATTCAAATACCACACTGAGCTGATCAAAAAATCTAAAAAATATTTTGTTATGGATTAGTTTATAATATAAAGGTCACATTACATTCTGGCAATACAATACTGTGGTACAATATACTAAAATTGTGGTTAATCTCCAGTAGAAATTGTAAATAGTAAGATGCCACAAAAAAATAGCTTCAGAACAATATGTTCTAAGGATATTGTATCTTTGTTCCAAATCCATTTCTATTCTCCAATTGTTATTTTGGCGAAACCAATTTTAGATGATTCTAAAGACTAAAGACAAAAAGGATTTTAATCACTAGTAAAATCAAAGTACAATATATGAAATAGATATACATGCTATAACTAATTAGTTTACAAGTTTACTCTACATGGTACCTCCTATACCATATATATTTTAAGATCACGATAAATAATTCTGTTATTGATATACCACGGTGCATTGGTTATAATTCAGAGGGTTTTTGATTGGAGGCAGTCAGATTCTAACCAATTTCATTTCTTTGCTGATGGTGGTTCATTTTAAGGAAAAAGACTAAATAAACTTGAAAAACTTCTTTGACGATTTAGCAAAACGTAGTCAAATCAAAACAAATTGAAACTAAAATGAACAACTGCTATTATGTTTTCAATTTACTTGCAAACAAATGATAAAAACTGCCTTTTTGCAGTTCAACTGATAAATCTTTATAATATACCGGTTTATATCGGTATATAGAACATATTTATCGGTTAACATTTATTGACGATATGATTATAGTATGTATCTGTAAATATTGAAAAATAGACATACCAGAACCGTAATATATATTTAAATATAAAGAAAATATTTACGTTTGGTTTTCGCTAAATTCCTGTATATAATCCATTATTTTATACTCGGGATATACAAATACTACAGGCCATACCAAAATACTATTTTCATCCAAATACACTCTATTGTGTACCAATTGTGGGAAACATGGTTCCAACTTATCTAATGAGAGATTTCCTGAAACAAAAACATTATTGAACATACAATAAAATACAACAGCTCCAAGAATTTTATAATGAATTTATTATTTATTATAGAGGGTATCCCGTAATGAATTGGACTGTAGCTAAGTTATACGTCACATCAAATACAGCGTTTGAGTCCAAAACTATTTAAGAAACTGTAACGCCAGGTGTAACGATAAATTTTTACTCTCTTAATCCCATGTTAAAAAATTGAAATCTAATGAGATTGTTGCTGTTGTTAAATGTGATTGTCTTGAATTTACTAAATATTTGGTTTACTAATTCTGGTTACTAATAAACAAAATCAACTTATACTACCAAGCTCCTCATGGAATGCAGCAATATTTTTAAATACCGCATTGCAGGAAGATAATGGTTCAAAGAAGACAAGCATTATAAAAGTGCTCCTTTTATATACCCTATTATGAGTAAAAATAGCTAACAACATATTCATTAAATGTTTATTTGTTAATTACCAGCTTAATTACATTTTTTCTATCCCTCAGCGCCTCCTTAACCCGAGATATGATAAACACCGTGATATACAGACTCTATAGTAAAGTAAATACGCTTTAACAGCTTAAACACGCGTGATGACGCCAAGAGACTGTCGTTTCCGCGCATACTGAGAGAATAAAAGCAGCTACACAGAATAAGACCGGTCGTGGGAAGTAGGTACGATGCCACAGATAGTACCTACAGAAAAAGACCAGGAAACCACCCAGAGAAGTCCAGGATGCCGAGAGGGAGATAAATCAGAAGAAGATGGTGCAAGAGCGGGACATCGGGAAGAAAGAAGGCAAGAATTTATAAGTTTTGACATGTTATATTTTATTAAGGCAATAAACGTTTTTATTTTTATTTTTATTAAAGACCGGTCGTCACTCGACACTGAGGAATAGGCAGATTGAGGTCTCAGTGCCATTTCACGGTTCTCGTATTTCTGGAGAACAGGATACTGGTACGTCACGAGTGAGGAGAGTACTCGAACGAAACCATATTCCTCTTGATAATGGCTCCAAAATAATGGGTGCCGAAACGTCGAGTTTTAAATTCTCAATGCGGTTCTTCCCGAGAACTTAGTAATTTTCATATATTGTTAACTTACCTTTTGATCCTCCTTCTATATTATAACCTCTGCTAATAATCTCATTAATTAGCACTTTTTCTTCTTTCTCTCTCTTTTTTGCTACTTGTTCTTTTTTTCTTTCGTCCCTCTCTTTTAACTTTTCTGCATTAGTACACTTTTTTCGTAAATCTAATACGGTTTTATTTTCCTTGTCTTTCGTTAATAAAATATCACAGTACTCAACAGCTTTTTTGTATTTCTTCATTTCAAAGCAACAGTTTGCAGCTCTTATTAGCGCTTTGTCATAGTCAGGTTTGAGTTTTAAAGCTAGTTCACAATCCTGCAGCGAAGATCTGAAAAATTAGAAGTAGTTGAATAATAAATTTGTATTCTATTTACATAATAGAATTAGTAATTAGAAACGGAAACAAATGACAAACTTCAGTACAAGTAAGAGAAGACGGATCAACACTTTAATTAAAGATAAGATCAAAATCTGTATGATCTGAATATAAAAGAAAGCGGAGAGAAGTAACAACATATTGGCTGTAGCCAAGTCTTCGTAATAGATTGTAAAACTACATTGTCGTCACTTCCCAACATTTTTTCTCTGATCATATCCATATTTAAATAAAATTTTTCTACCTTTTAAACTTGAGCAACGTTATTTCTCCAAGTCTTACTTGGTATTTTCTCTATTTGATTCAATCAAACGTATTACATATGAATTTAGGTGGGTGAAACAATATTTTGGAAACATAATCGAGTCGAATCGAATAAGATAAATTAAAACCCATCGCATCGCTCCGTGCGTAGACGATAAGAAAGCTTTGCTTCCTCTCCACGGTCACTCCCAGAGTGCCACATTCCGTTTTTTGTCTTAACGATGTTTTTAGCTCATACCATGTCTTTTTAATCCCATTAAATATGCAATATTAAGCAAGAAGGAGCACTCATTTCTTTCACCAAACCCATAAGTATATTCTTTTTTGATAGAAAATTATTGTGTTGCTTCAAGCAATTGATTTTTGGTAAAATTATCCTGGAAGTATATATTACTTTCAAGTATAAACTTATGGATTGTAAGTTTAGTTTATTTTGCCTTCTACTCTAGTAGTTGGATAGTGTCATCACAATGACACTATTTGGTGGTATATTTTACAATAATTTAGTTGTCAACCAATTCGGTAGAGTCAACATGGTAGTCCTTAATATGTTTGGATAAGCTTAAAGAATTATGTATAGAAACATGCTAACCTTCTTTGCAAATAAAAATAGCCAATGAAACTTCTTAAATTACTTTTGCTGATTTATTTTATTTAGCTTATGGCTAACGATAGCTCTATAACGTAAGCACAGAATTTAAAATACAAACATAAGCTTATATAAAAACGAACACAGAAGGTAAAATAGAAGATAATATAAACAAATGAAAGGATATATCTTCAGATCCAGTTGAGCTATCCATTCAAGGTCTTAAGGTATAGGTATGAAGAAGTCTTTTAGGTACCCTCGGTATGCCCTCAATTCACATGTCTCCACTATGTGTTGGATGGTTTGATCTGGAACACCACATGTAATGGCTTGTAATGGCTGTAATGCCATTACCGTGAATTACCTGAAAGTATCGATCAGAGAACATGTTGTTTATTAGTTTCAATGTTCTTTGGTAGGAAATTAGTTTGGTCAGCTTATAATGGAGTCCCTCCTTCCATACCGTCTCGTAGGCAGCTGTCAGATCCACACTAACTAATCAAAACTACAGCCGTCCTTTGTTGCTTTTGGAAACCCGCTTCTATATGCGTAGTTAGACTTAGGACCTGGTCTGCGCAGTTTCGATTAGGTAAGAATCCTGCTTGTTCGAGTGGGATATTTTCAAGAATTTGTGGGCCTATTATGTTTAAGATAAGTCGTTACACCAGTTTATAGCAGCAGGTGTTGGTTTGCCAGTTTTGATGTCTCGAGGGCTGATGTTATTTCTTGCTGAATTGGTGGGAGAGTTTTGAGTTGTCGGGCTGTTTGCCGTAAATTATTGAGTTCTTTTTTTTATATATTTTGTGTGTTCTTTTCACATAATAGCCTAGATAAGGTCACTATTCTGATAGCTATTTGGTATGGGGATAAACAGTGAGGTTTTCGAACGAGCGGAGCACTTCCTCCTAGTTTTCTAAGTAGGCTCCAAGATTGTCTGCTCGACCTTTTAAAGTCCATTTTCTCCATTGTTTTTATCCATTTATATTTCCGAGCTTCATTAAACGTTTGTTGTTAGCTACGTCTGGGTCACCATTCTTTATATACTCATTGTAAAGTTCTTCAAAACCCGGCTAGAGCTTTAAAGGATAGAGGATATACTTTTTGCGGTAACTTCTTGGTATACACTTTAAGTTTAAATCAAGTTCAGTAGAGAATGTTAGCCTTCTTTTACATAAAATATTCTAAGGTTGTTTTCGTCTGCCCACTCTACAAGTGCTTCTCCGTTCTGGCTATTGCTGTCATATTTCCACATCGTGTGATGACTATTAAAATCTCCTATATAAACTGCTGGATGGTGAAGATGAGGCAGTACTTCAGGGGCCATTTGATTTCTGGAGGCTTGTATATATTACCAATTGTGAGTTCTTCTATTTTTACTGTAATGATTTAATTTTGGACCTATATTCGCAATTCTTATTCGTAATCAATAGGTAATAACGTAAAAACAATTACGTTAGGACAATTTATTTTATAAATAAAAACCTTTTAACTACTGCTTGTTACACACTTTAGGTTACTTATGTCAAAGATTTTAATATTATTCTTGGATCTATAAGTCCTAACGGTAGTTTATTTCATATATGTTTTATTAGTTAAAATATTTTTAATAATGTACAATAAAGCTTACCTAAAATTTTTCAAAAAGAAGTGTGCTGCAGCCCTGTTATTTAATAGAGTTGCATTGATCTCTGGATCTTTGCATTTAACTTTAATTCCCTCCGTATATGAAATAACAGCTAATCTATAGTTTTTATACTTAAAATTAAAGTTTCCATCATCCTTGTAACTTACAGCCAAATCTGAAACATTGCAATACATATTATTGTAGACTGTAGATTTTACAGAAATCGTTTGGCTTCATAGATTTTTTCCACTCTGCAACCTAAAAGAGTTTTGTTATTCTTTTTTTTTTTTATTTCAAAAGATCTCGATTCAAGAAAAGCATATTATTAGTTTTGGAACTACGTTTGTTACCCGACAAGATTGTAAAAAGACCTTTTCCAGAAGTATATGACCTTGCATAACAGACTCTACAGTTACAGACAATATGTTTGACCGATTCTAATCCGAGTGTTCCCATTTAGAGCCAATAGAGTACTAAGATAACGGGTAAGTATTCTTTTTTCATCCCGGTCTTTGTTAGAAATATTATCATTTGATTGTTTACGCAATAAAACGTCTTCCAGAAGTCTACAAGATATGCAAATACACCTACATTCATGTCTTAGCATCTTTGGCTCAGTCAATTTAAAGAAAAAAAAAGTTAACTTGAAAACTACATAAAACGTTAACTAGTTTCTTGTATTTCCAGTCCATTTCTAAATCCGAACTGAGTTTCTCTATCTGGTATTTTCACTTTCTGTAAATTCTTGTATGGATGATTCTACGGAATGTTTTAAAGGACGTGAGTTGTTAGACTTATGATTCGGAGTTATCGCACTGGGAGGAATTATGTTTTTTGGTAGTGTTACGAATGATGTCTATAGCCGTGGGTGGTATAAGACATATTCTATATTCGTCAAAAAATGTTTAGATGTGTTCTTTCTATCAAGCAACGTTGTCATCTGTTCGTACAATTGTTTCGTTATTATTAGTGAGTCTTTCATTTCATTTCTTTTACTTTCTTGTGAATGTAAAAAGCGCCTGAAGTTGTTAGATTTCTTGGCTTGCTTGTATTCAGTTGGATTTGTTTTGTGCTTTGACATTTCATTCATAAGGTCGATGATTTCTTGTGTTAACAATTTTTTTCTATTGTTTTTCATAAATCCGATGTCTTCTTCTTGAATATTGATTATTTTTACTTCGTCTAACACTTTATAGTATTTAACTAAATAAGTTGAGGTGGGAAGAACTGTTTGTCCCAAGTAGCTTTGTTAATTTCCATAGATTCTAATAATGATAGCTTAAGGCCTATATTTTGAATGTGAAGAATTTGAAATGGGTTATTAAAAGAATGATTGTGATCTACAAGGTGAAGTGTGTAAGTAGAATCTTGTTTTCTATTATTGAAAGCCTTTTTCTGTCCTGGTTGTTAAAGGTTTTACCCGTTTGACCAATGAAGTTTTTAGGGAGTCGGCACATATAAGTTTGTATACACCACTGTGTAAGTGCTTTTTCTTTGGGCTCTTGTTGTTTTTAATATATTTGTTTAAATTGTTGTTTGTTCTGAAAGCTTAAGTTATTCCTCTCTTTTTTATGTGTTTGGCTATTTTTGATAATATCTTGCCAATATATATAATCTAGCAGAAAGTACTGGGTTTTTTCTCTGTTGGTGGAAAGACTAATTTCAGGGATTTCTTATGCAGTTTTTGGTTTAAAATTTTGTGTTTTATCTGTTCATTGTAGCCATTGTATACTACTATTTGTCTAATGATATTGAATTCTATCTCGAAATTGTTTTTTTACATGGGAAGTTCTATTAATCTGTGTAACATGCCATGCTAGACTGCCAATTTATGTTGTATATGATGGGATGATGAATTGTGTATAGTTGTATCAGTATGGATAGGTTTATGGAATATGGAAAACTCATGTTTGTTTTCATCCGATATGTTATACCAATGATTTTTTAACATTTAAATGGGATATTAATGATGATGTTATAAGACATGTAAGAGAAAATACTAAAACTTATTAAAAAGCTAAAAAAAGATCTTGAAGAAAGTATTACTACTTGATAAAATAATAACTGCAATAGAAATACAAACAATGTTGTCCTTTGTCTTGCTTTTTTACATAAATAACTACATAACTAGTACATAAGGAAATAAAAGCTCTAATATCGAAGTAGAACAGTTCTGTTGTAATTGGTATATTTAATTAAAATTAAATTTAAAAATCCAAAAGGATCAAATTCAAAACGTTTTCAGACTAATCAGTCCATCTTAAGTGAATTTTGTAGTACTTGCAAAATAACTTCAAAACCAAACAGTGGTTGGGTTTAAATGGATTAAACAATACTTGAAATTAATAAACCGATGGAGACATGTCAACTCATACAAGTGGCATTTAACATTCCTACAACAGTTCAGATGTAGAAAACCTTTTCGAGTAGGGAGTTATGTTCCCTGTAGGCAATCTAAGTCCATCAGCATATTGCCAGATGATTTATTAATTTTAAGTATGGGTTTAATCCACTTAAATTAACAACTATTTGGTTTTGGGTTATTTTGCAAGTACTACAAAGTTCACTGAAGATGGACTGATTAGTCTGAAAAGATTATGTTCCAGTTTTTTCACTATACAGTATACAGCCAACTCGTGGGAATTATCAGATTTTAAGAAAATAAAACTTAAATGCTGTGGAAGGCCAAAGCTTAATGGGAAAGATTATGTAATGTAAGGATAATAGCATAGCACATAGCATTGTGGTTATATGAGCCCTAACCGCAAAATGACTCTATGGTTATACTCAAGGGTTATTAGACCCATGATAACCTGTGGCTCGGTGACGTGGTGGACAAAGACGCAGCAAGTGGGAGCAATAAGGCTGCTAGGTAATACACAAAGGCTAGCATGCTTGTGTATTACGGGAGTCATAAAAACAACTCCTACTGCATTGTTGGAAGTCCTGCTGAATCTAGCACCAATTCATATTTTTATACAGGGCGAAGCCAGATCAGTGATGCACAGATTAATCCATAGTTAACGAAATATAAGCCAGATGCATGGTACTGACAACAGAAAGCTAATCGAGGAGTTAAAAGCCGATATTGTGATGGGGAAACCATCGATGCAACAGCTACGAGATATAGCTTTAACAATAAGTTCACAATTAAGATACCAGGCAAGGAAGACGAATAAAGGTGTACCCATAAAAAATGCTGCTACCTGGTACACGGATGGCTCAAAAACATCGGAGGGTGTGGGAGCCGACTTAGTAGGAACAAATCAAGGCAGCGCTTATATATATATATATATATATATATATATATATATATATATATATATATATATATATATATATATATATATATATATATATAGGTTCTCGAACTCCTAAATGGAGCATAGAGCTTCAGTGAAAACGCGCCATCGGGTTCTATTTTGCGCTAAGGCCTTCACCTCATTCCAAGACTTTCCTTGTTTTCTTATCTCGTCAAGGCAGCGCTTAAGGCACTCAATTCTGTAGAGGTCAATTCTAAGCTAGTATGGGATTGCGTGTGTGCCCTAAATAAACTACGAGACTGTAGCAAGGTTACTGTAGCCTGGGTATCGTGGCACGAGGGTCATAAGGGTAATGAAAAAGCATATGAAATGGCCAAACAAGGCTCAACAATGCCATTTATAGGACCGGAAGCCTTCTGCGGCGTTGCAAAGTCAGTAACAAGAACGGCTACAAGGAAGTGGTAGCTTAAAAATCTCTGGAATGGTGGAGGAATTCACAAGGACAAAGACAGGCGAAACAGTTCATTACAGAACATTTGCCAAAATTTACAGCAGACTTAATAAGCAAAGACAGGAAAACAGTCAAAGCCATAGTAGGTCTTCTAACAGGACACTGCAAGCTAAATAGACACTTGAAGCTGATTTGATTATCAGATGATGACCTGTGCAGATTCTGTCACCTCGAAGAAGAAACAGCAGAGCACATTTTATGTCAGTGTGACAGTCTGGCAAATGTGCGGTTCTCTGCATTAGGAGAAGAAAATCCACCGGCAAATAGCTACATGGAAGGTACAGTCTCTAAGCTACTAGACTTTATAAAAAGGGTCAGGCTAAAGAATGTTATCTAGGATTAGAGGACCACAATAGATCTGAAAAGATTGCAGTGGAATAGGCCAAAAGGCCACCTCTCTAAATCTATCTATCTATCTATGATCCCTAACAACTAAATATTAAAATAAACAAAAAAAATTCACAAAAGTTCATTGAATTACGAAAGCAACCATAGATTAAAGTCTAGCATAAACAGTACAATTTTGGTTGCTGGTTTCTATAAACTTTGAACTGCAGTGTTGGTGGCAAAATAAACGAAAATATTACATATTTTTTAGGAAAAAATTAGGCATTCAATAAAAAATTATGATCGGACCTTATAAAAACTGAGCTCTGATTTGTGTATCAATTTCCTGCAGCTCTCCCTTGATAATTTTTTTCCTGTTTCTGTGTTACATTAGGCTTTGATACTTTGTAAAGTGTTGTGACAGGCCCGCATATAAATTTTCTCCAGTATTCATTCAAAAACAACTAGATATGTTCATCGTAACATTTAGACAGGATAAAGATATAAATAGAATTTACGGCATAACAGACATACTTGGTGCCAGAGTTGAAATCGAACCAGAAGGAGTTCCTGATTAGTCCCGCAATGTAAAAGATGCCAGGCTTACGGAAACGAGTGGAAATACTGTAAAAAGGAGCCAAGATGTGTAAAGTGTATTAAGTATATAAACAAATAAACAAAAGGAAACTTTCAAATTAAGTTAAAAAAAAACAAACATAAGATTTACAGCACACAGCAAATCTATAAATAGAGAATGATGTGTAATGACGAGATTGTATGTTAAAATTTCAGATTTTTGAAGTCTAATGAAAAAAATAAGTATTTTCCAAAGTTTTCTGTTTTTTGAAGTTCTTTATTAGGTACTCTCTAATAAGAATAAGTCATTATGATTGCCAAACCAGGTAAACTGATATATACCTCCTTCCAGTATTGTCAAAACTATTTGAAAAACTTCTATCGAAAAGATTAAAACCAATAATAGAGAGAAAGAATCTTATACCTAATCATCAATTTGGCGTCAGAAATAAACATTCCAATATAGATCAAGTTTACAGAATAACGAAAATAATAGAAAAAAGATTAGAAGAAAAGAAAGTCTGCTCTACAATCTTCTTGGATGTAGCACAGACATTTGATAAAGTCTGGCATGATGGTTTAAACTATAAACTAAGAATGTTCATGCCTAAACAGTATTCAGAAATCTTAGAATCATACATTGTGAATAGATATTTCAGAGTAAAACAAGAACAAGTGTACACTGACTTAAGGGAGATCAAAGCTGGCATGCCACAAGGGAGCGTATTAGGTCTGGTCCTGTACTATTGTATATGTGTGACATTCTAGAGCTAGAATGAAACACTATTGCCACCTTCGTAGATGATACAGCAATTGCCACCTTCGTAGATGATACAGCAATACTAGCGATAAGAAGACACATATACGAGATAGACTGATTGTTGCAATACCAGCCCGTTCCCCAGTGAGAGAGAAAAAGCTGACACAAAGCAGTCCCTGCATCTCTTTCTAATTTGCCAGGTTTATTGACCACCTGACCTAAATAACCAATGAGAAGGTCACATGGTCAATAAACCTGACCTATTAAAAAGATATGTAGAGACTGATTTGCGTCAGTTTTCTCTGCCATACTGGAGGAATGTGACTGTACTTCAGCAATCAGTCTATCCTGCATTATATGTCTATGGTTGAGATAGACTTAAGGATACTAAAAATCAGAAGATGGCAGCACTTCACAACAAACTGAAAAGAATGATGACAAATCATAGAGTATGCCAGGATCCACAGAGGATTGTCGAGCCAAAGATGATGATGATGATCTCATTCTTTAATTTTATAAGCAATGTTGTGAAGATGAACTCTCAATCAAGTTTCACTTGTCTGAACATTTAGTTGTTAGGGTTGATAGTATATTATTTGCATAATCATGGTTTAACTTGATATTTCATGTTTATAATACTTTTACATTTACAGAAGTACTCATACCTTCTGGTTCATTTTCTTCAGGATCATATTTTAACTTCTGAAGTCCTTCAAAAAGGGGATGAAGCTCATCACCAGGTTTTGGGGGTTCTTTCATAAAAAATGGATGTTTTGCCATTTCCTAAAATAAAAGTATATTCTGCAATCATACTACATAAAGACCAGAAACATGTACATTTTCAAAGTTTTGCTTATTTCATTGAAAAGTAGTTTGGTTATGGTGGGTGCCCTAAACTAATCATTGCCCGAAAACTCTTTAAAAAATGATTGCTGTTAAATAGCATTAATTATGTGTCTTAAAATTCATTTTATACATAAATGCTAAAATATCTTTACCTCTTCCCAACGATCTTCTGGCCATCCATCTTCATATTTTTTTCTTGGTAATTTGTCAATAAACTCATCTAACTCTTTATCTAATTTGGCTGCCAGTTTCAGCCTTTCCTGCTCTGTCCATATCTTCTTCTCTACATTTTCAGAATTACTCATTTTAAAAACAAAAAAGGGTTACAAGAAACCCCATTCAAATGAAAACATAACCTAACACACTGGCACGTGCATTTTGCAGATTAATTTTTTGACACAAGACATCATATATTGTCGTTTATTACATCATGGGACACCATTACATGTTCTATACAGATTGTCCCAAAATTTGAACTATTGGACATTTTTAAAGACAGTTTTACATTATGATATTTTCATGCTAGGCAAGAGCCATGCAAGACAGATCATGGAACTGCGCATGCCCACGGGCTATTTCCATGCAATTCCTGTGCTAGACGAAAAATTAGAACATGTTCTATTTTTCATGCAATTTTCTTGCAATTTATCGTTAAAATTCATGTTGCCAACATAACAATTTGTAATAGATTACAGAATAAAACATAACCTTATCTCTATCTTTAGCGTCCCTTAACCATCGAGCAATAAGACAAAAGAGGGAATGTAAAGGTAGAAGGGGTAAACATATTGATAGACAGGAAGTGCCATCTTGAGAGGCCACTTTAGACAAGGATAGAGAGTCTCTCTCCTTGTTTGACATCAAATTTAGTTGGGTTATGTTATTGTTTGTCCCAAATGTCACATGAAATCTTATTTATATTGAAGTTTTTTAACAATTGTGTCGCATTTTAGACTCTTATCATTAATAATTAATTAAAACTTTCTCGTCTAAGACACATTTTGAAAAATATTATATAGCTACTGTTGATAAGTGTCGAAAAATTTAAATTTGGCGCATTCGCATTTCCGGATATGTCCGCCATCAGAGGCCACTTTTTTGGTCTCCTTTTTATAAGGATTAGATTCCCTCTTTTGTCTTATTGCTCGATGCCCTTAACCCACATGTGTATTGTTGTGTTTTGATTTAAATTAAGTTTATTAAGTGGTGATAAATAGATATACTATGTCTAAAGTTAATGTAAAAACGACTGGGTGAGTCGTTGACTATGGATGATTGTTGCTACAACAGCAATATTCAACAATAACAATGTTTTCTTTTCTTTGGTTGACATCCTTCACCCTTTTAATAACCATAAATAGTGTATATATATTTATTTATTATATTATTTATTTTAGTACTTAATTATATTTTTTATTTAAAATAAAATAACCTCAAATTTAATATGCCTCAAATTGATAAATATTTTCTCTGTTGGCAACAATGAAAGTGGGATCTAAAATTGCACAAAAATATCTCTGATGTAAAAAGGCCAAGCTGGGCAAGAGATGTGCCATGCAAGACGGACGGGATTCGCCGGGACTGTGACGAGACGTGACTGATGTGTTTGAATCGACCTTTAATACCCAATCAAATGTATTGTATATTAATCACATTGAGTTAAACTCGATGATTAATCACTAACTGAAACAGGCCCCTTTGATATAAATTTCAGGTTAGTAGATGTCCTCATACTTTGCGAAAAGTGTTTATAATTTGCTGAAAGTGGACTCGATACAGGATATTACGAACAATCTGCTAAGAAGGCAAGAGTTCCCAGGAGATCCGAAAACGGCAAAAGGAATAAGAGGAGCCTGGGGCGCACAGACCTGTATGCCTGTTAAATTCTTTAGGCAAGGTCTTTGAGACTCTTTTGAAGGCGAGGCTAGAGAGGAAGATAATGGGGAAAAGCAGCATATCCGACCGCCAGTATGGGCGAAAATCTGCTGTAGACGCCATAATCAGGATCAAGATGGAGATATTAATATGTAGGTGCAGATGGATGGTTGCTTTCTTTCTTGATATAAGAAATACTTTTAATAGTGCTAGCTAGAAAATTATCGTCATACTACTGGGCGACTTGGATGTGTCCCCATCTGAAGAACTTGTTCAGGAACTACTTCAAGGATATATGCATAAACATAGCGAGGGGTAACTCTATGAATACCACGGCAAGAGTGCAGCAGGACTCTGACCTGGTTCTATTGTTGTGGATTGTTCTGTACAACGAGATTTTGGAGGCAGACCTGAGTATGGCTGTACAGGCAATAGCACATGCGGATGACCTGATGTTGCTACTGGAGCACAACGAATACTGGTCAATCAGGCATAGAGGGAACAGATTTCACAACAAAGCGAAGACGTGAATGGGAAGCAGGGACCTCGTAATAGCGGCCGGGAGATTAAAGCTATGATCTTCAAGAATCCAAGGACTAGAGACCATATAATTTTTGTACTGACGGAAGAAAGGATCTTACCTACCAAAAAAGTGAAGTACTTGTGAGTATTTTTAGATACTAAGCGAACTTTTAGGCGGCGTTCATACTCGCGCGATATCCGATAAGCGACATTTTATCGCCACGATATATTGCTAGAAAGGTTAAAAGAGAACGGACGATAAATCGTCGCGACAGAGCGATGATGGTGGAAGCACAATTCTCTTCAGTTACAATTATGAGCTCAAGTGAGGAAAACGTTGTAGTGGCTTATTGGTTTAGGCGTAGAATGAGAAGAAAAAGAAAATACTGGGTACATCCTTACAATCTTATCAACGTGCACCCTAGCTCGGCTGTTGTTTCCAGAGAGCTGTCTCAACACGAATCAAAGTTAAAAAAAATTTATCGAATGAAACCTGAAAATTTTCATTTTCTGAAAAGCTTAGTGTCAAGAACCATTGAAAAAAAAAAGATACTCACTTCAGGAAGGCTATTTCTCCAGATAAAAAACTCCTGATTACTATAAAGTAAGTAGCTATAAATATAATCAGCAATTTAAATAAAATGTAGACGTTTTATTTTCATTTTTTTATTATTGAAACAGTTTTATTTTTATAGTTTTTTAAAAATTGTACCACTGAGTTCCACTTTCTTCTGGCATTTGGGTAATCGAATTGAATTCCGAAGTTGCTGCAATATTACGCATGTGAGATTGAGTTTGTTCGGTGTAATGATGGGATGACAAACCCCATACAGATGGGCTAGAAGCAACTGAAATGCTGGATTCTACGTTCTCTCGTTCTTCCTCTAACAACTTATGTAACAGATACATTGTTTGTATTTTGAAAGTCCTCTTACGACGTAAACTAAGGTTTTTCAGATCACGTAAAAGAGAAAGAAGGAAATGCTGTTCACCATCTTGATTATTTTTATTAATAGATTGATTCGTTTTTAACCATTCTATAAAAGCATCGTCGACTTGGTCTATTCCCTTTCATTTTTTATACGTTTGTTTTGAGTTGTTATGAGCAGGTTTTTCTATTAATTGCTCTGAAGAAGCTCTATTAGGTATTTTCTCTTCAATAATTGTCTCACTTCCATCATTTTGATTGGTATATAGGACTCCTCTACTGCAGTATCTTGAACGTGAGTAAGATTTCCTGAGGTTTCTCCTCCATTCAAATATGGTTGCAGAAAAGCTAAATGTTCGGCCAAATAATAACTTTTCTTTTAATTTTGACTAGCCCCAGACTTTGGCGGTTTCAGTGAGCGCACATATGCTATTCTGATGTTCTTCCATCGCTCTCGACAGTTTCTTTCTGAAACAAAATTTAAAATTAATTACATGTTAAAATGATGTCTATTAAAACAAAACACCTATATTAACACAACTATTTAACACTTCCAACTAATTTAACGTTTTTTTACAGGTGTCTAGCTACTGGAAGTTTTCAAGATCTTTCCTTGCAATTTTACAGAGGTAAATCAACTATCAGTTACCTTGTTCATTCGACTTGTGATGCTATATGGTCCCACTTACAACCACAGTATACACAGTGGCTCAACCAACGGAGGAAACTTGGAAGCAAATATCAAAACGTTATTATGAGTTATGGAATTTACCTAACTGCATTGGTTCTCTTGACGGAAAACATTTTCGCATTCAGTGTCCCCTTAATACAGGGTCATCATATTATAATTAAAAAGGGTTCTTTTCAATTGTTCTGATGGCTTTATCTAACGCAGATGGAATTTTCACTGCAATAGATGTTGGAGACTATGGACGGAATAGTGATGGTGCTGTATTTCGCAAATCAACAATTGGCAAATTATTGCATAATAACAAATTGAACATACCAAAAGCAACTCCCTTGCCAGGAAAGGGAAATGATAATACTTTTCCATTCTACTTTGTGGCAGATGAAGCATTTCCTCTCCAACATAATATAATGCGGCCCTTTCCAAAAAGAGTATTAAATGATGCCAAAAGAATATTCAATTTTCGACTTTCAAGAGGTAGAAAAAGTGTGGAATGTAGTTTTGGAATACTAACCTCAAAATTTCGTCTATTTGACAGACCAATTTATTTGAACACAAGTAATGCTGTGCAAACTATTAAGGTAGTATGCGTACTTCATAATTTTATACGCAGACGAGAAGGGCAACCTTATGTTCCACGGCCCTTTAAGAAGTGTTGTATAGTACCAGCATTGCCAGATAACAGTACGTTTAGTGAAAACAGCAATTTGAATGCAGCAAACCGCTTACGAAATAAACTAGGTGAATACTTTTTAAAACCAGCTGGTGCAATTCCTATACAGTGGAAATGAGTCGGTTTATAAGATCCAGTTATTTAGTAGGTACGATGAATTTTTTAAATCTGTATATAAATATTTACACTATGGGTTAACAATTTGATTACTGGCCTATTTCACCTAATAAATAAATAAATAAATAAACAATGTGTTCAACTGTATCTTTTATTTCTGATGAAATTTCCCTCCATGCAGTGCTCGTCACATCTGTCCTAGTGTAAGCAGTTAGGGAATAGTTCCAGATGCATCGACGAGCTTTCACTAAATTAATAAAAATAATCACAGAACTGTCTTCTTTTCTTCCCGACATGTTAATAGCTTGAAATATCCTGTGAAATAAATCGCGAGGGCGACCGACACGTAGCACTTCGAACAATATATCACTTGCGATATGTTGTGCAATCGCGCGGAAGTGAACGTTTTTTATCGTCTCTATTTAGATTTTAAGTATCTGTTTGTGCGTATCGCATATCGTTTACGATATATCGCTTATCTTTTATCGCCCAAGTATGAACGCCGCCTTAGCGTAGACGAGATATAGGTCGTTAGAAAGGTAGAGTACTTCGGTGCTGGCAAGTATTATGCCAAATGTGGGAGGACCAGGGA